AATTCGAGCATGTTTTGCTTTTGCTAAGATAAGAAGGTTTTCCCATGAGTAATAAATAAATAAATGAGTTTTTAAAATAATTTCTTGTATGGATGAGAATTGAAAATAAGTAACTTATTTTACGGAAAGGTATCCAAAAAATAGCTTATCTAAACATATTTGAAGACCATTTATTTTTAAGCTTAGCCAAGCATATTGCTAGTTTTGTATATTGTACAAAATGGAGAGGTGTCATTTATCACTATAATGCACCGTGGGTACACGTTATTAAAGCATTTCCATCCCTCTTCATCTACTTATCCAATGAATGGTGCCTACACAACTAAATTGGCAAAAGCCAAAAGGTTGGGGTCATAATTATTACTGAGCAGTCATGTGTCCCAATGATCTTTTATATATTTTTCCTGTAGTAACTCTAGCTACTATTGAATGTAACATAGGCTTAGCGGTTCCAAAACCATCAATGATTGGTGAACTGACGTATCCATTTGCAACTCTTTTGGAAATATTACATGAATGGTATTGCTTTCCCATATTGTAAATACTTCGTACATTGCCCAATAATTGTTGGTCGTTCTTTGAATGGTTTCAATACCTGCACAATTATTAAAATGTTACAAATTTGAACGTATAAAATTTAAGTTTGTGCTTTTTGCCAAACTGGTTGCACCATCTGCATGGAAGATGAGGGAGGGAATAAATATAAGTTGTATAATTATGTAATAAATGTGAGTATATTCGTTGAGTGGCATTTTGTATGGTTGTAGAATGTAAACACACTAGAGTCAATCGGTAGTGTTTATCCCGAAGTGTAGTTACCTGGGATCATGTGTATTAGGTGCATTTTCATTGCACGTAAAAGGAAGGAAAACTAGCACTACGCTTGCTTAGTTCAAATTGTCTTTTACATTCCACCCCAAACCACCCACCCACCCCCCAAATTTTCGTGGAATTTGCCACTGGCCCAATGATAAGCATGTATAAGCTACTTGGGAATGCTTGGTTTCAATATTGTATGAGTTTAGGAAGCTGATTATCCTTTTGCGCATTTTAGGCTCCAGGAGTTTAATGTGGAAGAAGCAGTGGCTGTCCTTGCTGATGGAAGTGCTACCTTGAGAGTTGATACACAGCACTTGAACCTCAGTCTTCGGATGGGTTCTATCTATCAATTCATTGGAGAACTACAGATCGATGCCAGCAATGAGGTAAAAGAGTTGCATTATATTTGCGATAAAGTTGACCATGCACATAGCTCAAGAATGCACTAGCCTCTTTTATTAGCTGATGGCGTGCCCCTAGGATTCTTTTAGATCCCCTTGTAGCAGCATGTGTAGGCAGCTTGTTTTAGGGTATGGGTCTCGTTTGTTCGTTACGTGTTTTTTTTTTTTTTTTTTTAAATTTTTTTTTTTTTCTATCGTATTCTCCGTAGAAGTCTCAACCTGTGCGAGCGCGTCTTAGTTATACGATGGTTCTCTTGATTATTGAAATTAATGCTCGTTTCAATGTGCTTTTCTTTGTACAATGAATTAAATAAATAAGAAAATCAGACAAAAAGAAAGAGAAAACAAAATTAGAATCAAAATACGTATTCGTCTAGTTTGATTTATAAGGAATTTGATCAAACAATTGACAATTTTTGTTATTAAATTGTTGTTTATGTCATTCGATGAAGGTTGACATTAAGCGAAATGGTAATTTTTAGTTCATGAGTTTATGCTAAGAATGATTATTGTTGGCTTCTTGGCAAACAAGGATTGTTACAGTTGCAAAAATGTAATGTTGACTTAAGCAAACAGCGAATCCATGGGTATTTGAACCTGAGTATCCAGGAAAAAGGAGAATATTTGATGGAAGGTCGGGGAAGTTAAGGTATGTTTGACAAGTGAAAAACAGGCAAATAGGCCAGCAGTCGATCAGTTATATGATCAAAAGGTAGTGAAATATATTCTATAAATATTCACAGATCTATCTAGCAATCCCCTTCAACTTTTCTTGTTTGATTTTCATTTTCTAAGAATGAGAATGAAAAATATAGTCGTTACAGGACTCATACAAGAGATAGAAAGTCAAATATAGTGGTTTGATATAATGGATAATAGTCATATTTTTCATTTTTATGGCCAAAGAATGAGAATCAAATGTGGGATTACACTGTAGAATCCCCACACGTCACGAGTAAAAGAAATAGGTTCCAAATCCGAAGTCAGTATATTTTTGCTCCATTCTGAGCTTGTTATGTTAATGCTTCGGTACCATATTCTTCATTTTCCAGTTGTATGATCAATTGTTCCATCACTTTCTTGTATATGGGCATGTAATGATCATTTATCATAGTCCTCGACAGCTGCAGCTGACTGTATAATTCTGGTGGTGTCTAACAGCGCCACCACCACCACCACCAACGTAGTCCATTGTTCGTATCTAACCTCAGTGCTGCTCTAGCCAGGTCACAGAAGTGCACCTGCTCCAACAACCCTTCGGCGATAGATTGCAGATCAATAAATGACCTTTAAAACTCTGTTGCTCGATAAATGACCTCTAAAACTTTGCTGCACTCGACTTGATCATGCAGATTGTTCGATCGAGACGATGCCGTTACCTGATGATACAATGGGTTTCATAAGGATTTGAAAATTTTAGTTGTTAAATGAATAGAGATTAAAATTAAGGATTATGCTACGTGTACACCTTCAAAATTAAGGATTATGCTACGTGTCCACCGAAGGTGTACACAATCTTTTACACCCCCTTACATGGAGGGGGCTCATGCGTAATAAATTATTTGTGGGTCCTCCTCAATGTGTGACGGGTGTCACGTTGTAATGTACACACAGCAAAATCCTAAATTTAAATAGAGATCATCAAGAGACATACCAGTTCAAATGTTTCAAAAAGAACAAGAATTACAACAGTCTAAGCGAAGATCGTCCACAGAAGCAGCTAAGCTAAGTATTGTATTTTTCTTGACCCCAAGTAGTCTTCGTAAAGGTCACTTTTGATCAAAAATTAATTTTGTATACAAATTTTTAGTTTTTAAATTTGTCAATCAGGAATGGTGAACCTAATTAATTTTGAGATTATCAACTCATATCCAAAAAAACAAATTGAAAAACTTTAATTTTTGGATGGACAAAAATTTATTTAGGACTAAGAGCATCTCGACGAGCAGTAAAAAAAACCCTCTATTCGAGACCTGAAAAATTTGTAATCGATTCAAACTCATTGTAAACTTCATAATCTCCATTTAGAGGACATAATTTATCTTTTCAGTGGTGATACTCAAAACAACAAGTAAAAATTAAAAAAAATACCCGAGTTGACGAAAGCCATTTATAATAAGGGAAGTGCTATATGTATATAATTGTCTACATAATGGTGTCCACAATTACATGTGACACTGGATCTAACATTTAATTCAAATCTCACACTTGCACACCAATTATCGACATTATAGACACCATTACGTGCAATAATTATGTACAAGTAGAATTTTCCTTATAATGAAAAAAAAACATTTATTCCTTCTTTGGTAAAGTTTTTGTTCACTAAAAAGTAACCACCACATACCGAAATGGCCGTCTGCAAAATGAGAAATTAAATATTAAAAGGTACATTGGTCATTTTAATTAATTCAGTCACATTGTTAATTTTTCTGAAAATCATCAAAATGTGGTCAAAGTGAAATTTCTCGATCAGTTAATGGACATTTGGATGGATTCCATCGATTGGGGCTTCGATTAATTTTTTTGATGACTTGTTTAGTTATTACAATCATTCATAATAGTTATTTTGAATTTAATAAAATTACACAAAAATAATCGACAAACATATCACTTGTTACAATCATTCACTATCGTACATGCATTTTCAGAATGACATATTTATTACGTTAAACTGAATAATATCAGACGAACAAACAAACATAAACAATTCATAAAATAACAACTAGTTGTACATATAGATATGTCACGTTAGATTAAATAAAATTGATCGAATAGCATACAAATATCTCATATATCTTCCTTGTCATTCGAGCTACATCTACTAACTTTGTTATTTCTAGGATATATACATATTAAAGTCTTGAGTACTAGTTAATCCTAAGCTGGCTGAGTTCAAAACATTTTTAATTATTTCTGATTGTCCATGATTTGCATTAAATCAAAATTTTTAGGTGAACTAATGCGGAAATATAGACAAAATATTTGTGGGATTTCATGAATGCTGCACAACAAACAAGATCATAATTTATTATGTGCATATCTACTATTGAGAATATGATTGTCTATATGAGATAATTAATCAATTTAATAATAATTTAAGATAATTTTTAGTATATTTTATATAAATTCACATTTAATGTAATTAAAAATATTTTTAATAAATTGGATTTAATTTGTGCAATTCATATTAAAATAGTAATTCAAATGATGTTCATGTTTGATATTGACATTTCTCTCTCTTCTTTTTTTTTCCTCAAAATATATGTCTTTTTTTTTCTCTTGTTCAAGACAACGGACTTTATTCTCTAAATACGAGTCTAATACCATTTGCAATGATGTTATCGAAATTTGCATCAACCCATCCAATTTTGATAATTGGTAAAAGTTATCTCATAATGGCCGGTTGTGGGCAAAAAGGGCTTCGAACACCTAACACCATAGTCCATAGCTATATGCAGCAATGATAGTGTTATCAAAATTTAACATTAACCGATTCAATTATGAGAAATATGGAACCATCGTAAAGGCGAGGAGAGTTTCAAACGCCTAGCACCATGGTTCATAAACATTTGCTCTAATCTTCTGAACTACATTCTCCACCCGATTAGTTCTAGAGATTAGTATTAAACAGTAGACAATGGGGGTAAGTTGACATAGTTCTCAGCATCAATAGGGGACAATATGTATTTGTTTGTTTTTCATGTATGTCTCATGAGTTCTATAATACTTCTGAATCATCATTTTATTTTTATTTTTATTTTAAATTACACTTTTGGAAGTTACATTTATGATCACAGGGCTATTTTTATGATAGTTTTTGCAGTGAGTGATCTAATCCTCCGAGCAGAAGAAATCTTGAAGATGAAGTTGAAGGTATATCTTATCTAGGATGGAAAAAATTTAGTCGATATTACATTGCGAATGAAAAATCTTTGAACCAGGCTCGAAGAGTGTTTAAAAGCCAATGCTGCACCAAAGGGCTCCCTTGTTTTCGGTGCATAAACAGAATTGCCAATTTTCAATCCATTGGAATATCAGTTCCAGGGCTATCCTTATCATACGGCAAGCAAATACAAGGGAAAGTTTTAGGTTCTTTATGAAGCGAGAGGTGCATTCACATGGCTGTTGAGACCGATTCCTCAATCTATCAAATCATCTACTTCCAGATAGGATTATTTCACAGCTTCTGGTAAAATTCATCTGGCAATCTAGCAAAATCCTCAACAGAATGAATTCATCAGACGAAATTGGCTTAAATAATTATCATCAGATATGGGACATCATGGTGGATCGTTATCTACCTTCTTCTCGGCTAGTGACTTCTTATTTTGATCAAGGCTCAATATTTGCTACGTTGAATGACAGAACTCTTATCAGAATTCTTTCACAAACAAATTATCAGTCCTCACAGAGAGGGATGCAGGAAGTACAATAAGGTGCGCTTTAGAAGACGCGGCTGGTTACTGAGCCAAGCAATGTACTTATCTTGAAGTATTATGCCAATGAATGTTATGCAGATCTTTACTGCATATGCATATTTGGTACGCAATATTAGATCAGATCATAACGGACTTGTTTCGAGCGGGTAGTCGCTAACAATTAAAAAGAAAATCAGACGATTGTGTAAGAAACAAACCTTTTGAGACAAAGTCCCAAAAAAGGGTATTTTATTGGCGATGACTTTACAATTCCAACTAAATAGAATGTCTCCAAGGGGTGCAAGCACACGAGTACTGAAAAGAAATGTTTAAGTTTAAACTAAGAAATTGAAATTACATATTCTCTGTTTGAGAGTGTTTGATTCAGGGTCTTCTGCTCTATGTCTTCTCTTCCCTTTATATTCCCTTGATGATTTTTTCGTGATCAACCGTTTAGAAACTGCTTGATTGTTTTATAACTATCAACTTTCTTTATGGTGGCTAACTTGTCGTGGAACTGCCGTCTCTAATTGCTATCACTACTCTTTGTCGTTCAACCGTCTTCAACTGAACTTCTTGAATCGTGGAACGTGATAAGGTTACTCAATAACTGCACTTCTGGATAACTATAACATCTTATGT